AATTTTTGTAGGTTTCTAGAGTTAAAAACTAATTCAATACTAATAGAATTTTAATGAAGAATGATTAAATGATTGCTTTTGTGTTTGCTGTTTGCAATTACACTCATTATCAGTATTACTTTGCTTATACAATAAGGCAGAAAGAAAACACCAAGATTTTAGTCATTACACATCAATTTCCTACTTATTTAACTTTTATGCAGAAATTTCTGAATAATATTGCCTACAGTAATGAAATTAATAAGTGAATTCAGCAATTTTCAAGTATAAGATCAATATACTTCATCAAAATTATCTTCAAATGTTTAGAAAATAAATTGGAAAATTATAGTTAATTTAAGTATCACTTAGAATAACCGAAATGCAGTTTGTAGTGAGTTTAATAATAAAAGTACTACAAGTCCTTTAGAATGTGCAGTAGTTCTCTTTGTGTGACTAAACCTTCCATTATTACAAAAAAAAAAAACATAATTACAAAAGAAAAGCTTTGTGTTGGTTAAATTTGAGAGATTCCAGTCTCTGGGACTGTTGACTTGCAGTGACACAGTATGAGCAGTGAAGCAAAACTTCTAACCTCATGGCTAGGAAAGAGTAGAGGGAAGGGAACACACTGAATTTCATGATCTTCTGCAGAGATTTGGTTCTAATGACCTAAGTACCTCCAACCAAGTTCCACCTATCAGAGGTTTCACTCTCTTCTACCAAGTCTTCAACACACTTTTTTTAATTTTAAAAAGATTAAGACAAAAGAGAACATAGCAAAACAGGTCAGAACAGAAGAATTTAATCAACACAGTTTCACCGCAAGACAACTCAACATAACAATAGCTACCATAGTGTTTCTTTTATTGAAATATTTGAATATACTTTCATACACTACAGTATCAAACCTAACAAAATAGTATAAAATCATTCAAGAGACTGAAAATATTACAGGGTATTCAGAACCAACTAACAGAAAACAAACAAGGATTACTATATTATTTCCTTTTCCATAAAATTTTTGTTTATACTATCACACCTAACAAAATCCAATGAAATATAACGTGATAAAACCAATGGAGACAGAAGAACAAAAGCATGGTAGAATGATATTAAATCAGCACTAGCTATGATAATGTCTTTTCATCAAAATAGCTGTTCATATCATCACAGACAAAATGAAACAACCAGAATAAAACCATTCCATCATGAATGAAAACATTATAAGGCTTCAAAGCAATATAATGGGGAATAATGATTACCATACACTTTGATATATTCTTATCATTTCTTACACTAAGAAGACTGTATGGTATTTATACATGACAGGTTGATTCATTTCGCTTATAAGTATGGTCTCAAACTTGAGACCAAGCCTTCAACACTTAAGCACTGAAGATAAAAACTGTAGCACCTCTTATTTGTGGTTTTGCTTTCCACACTTTCAGTTAGCTACAGGCTTTGTGTCTGTGATTTGTGGAATTATACAAAAATAAATCATTTGTTAGGGTTAAATTTTACCCTTTACAGTACTACAATGAAATCTATTTCCATTCCTCTCTATCCTGCTTCAAACATTAACTGTTGCTTTCTCAATCATTTCCACATTGTACATGCTAAATCAGTAACAGTAGAAATCTTGGTTTTCAGATTATCATGGCACTGCATTCTTGTGGTCCAGTGACTTTTATGTTAACTCAGCAAAAGTGCAAAACACAGTATTAGTTATGTTGGCAATTTGGGTATGCCTGAAAGAAGACATAGTGTTTTCTTTAAGGAAAAAGGTGAAAGTTTTTGACTCAATAAGTTCTTTCCTTAGAGAAAGCAAAGTAACCTTACATTGAGATTGCTAAAATCCATAGTAAGTGAGAAAATGTTAATTTCTCAATGTGCTTATAGCTTAAATTTTGCTACAGATCTGCACACAGAATACAACACTGTATACAGGTTCTAGGATTTTCCATAGTTTCACACATACATAAGGGACATTGCAATATATTCCTATGGATAAAGGCACTAGTATACAATACAATGTGTATCTAATTTTTAATATGGACATTTTCTGTATTCAAAAGTATCATGTGCAGCACTTTATTTTAAATAGACATGAATTAATTCAGTTTCATTAAAAATATATGAAATTTTAATAAACTACCCAGATAGTTTCTAAATATTTATTATAATAGTGTCAAAGATGCAAAAGATAGACAAAATTGAAAGACATTTTTAAAAACTGTTATCTAGTTTTTCTGTAAAGGTAATATGATCAGTAGAATGTTGGTACTGGTATAAAACTAATATATCAATAGAAAGTTTTAAAATAGTGCAAAATTAGTTCTATATCAAAATGTTTCTTTGCATTTTTATGTATTATTTAATTGATGCCATCTTCCCAATTTAAGTTACTTAAGGTAATCTTTTAAATAACTGAAATTAACAAACATTTTTACCAGAAAAATGAAAGGATACCTTTCTAATTCTGCACATTGCAAATAATTTAAAATATAAATAAATGTAAAAGTAATACAAATATTTTATAATAAAAAACATGATTTTAATTTTGTGGTATCTAGTAAGCAATAATCATTTTAAAAATAAATTCAAATCATCCATATAAAATGTATTTGTTTAAAATACATACCTAATAAACTATGAAAATAATAGATTAAAAATATTTGCAAGTTTTATAACCATTGAAGAATTTTTTCTTCAAATATAACATACACCTTCAAAACTACAGAAAAAAAAACTCATATAAACCAGCCTAATTAGGACCATGTACAGAAATTGTGCATAAAATATGCTCAGTATTATCAGTCATAAAGGAAATACGGACATAAAAATATGCTCAATATTATTAAGCATAAAGGAACTGCAAATTAGATTCCCAAACAGATCCATTCACATGCACTATAACAGTTACAACCCAATGTAATTATGTCCCTGTGATATGTTGGCAAGAACTGACACAGTTGTAGCCCCTGTATATTATAGGTGGGAGAATCATTAGAGGAATACATAGTCCAAGCTTCTTTTAATTAAAGTTTACTTTACATCTGGCTAATAATCCTGTAATTACAGTTCCGAATATTAACCGTTTCCGTTGCTCATTGTGAAATGCAAGTGTGTGATGGAAGGAGTCTTTCACGATTTGCTGTCAGGTTTCCCACCACTGCAGACACTGTAACACAAACATTATTGCTTATGAATTTGCTCATAAAGCTAAAAGCACATGAAAAGCACAACAAAGGTGTTATAAAACTAGTTTTCAAAGAATGAAGATTTTGATATGTATTTTAATGTATTTAAATGATTTTGATAACTAAAAATACCAATAAGAACAGTTCAATACTATTCATTCCTATGCATTAATTGAATACTTATCAGCAAGAATAAGAGGATGTGACACAGGCCACAGCAAAGAATGGATTTGCAGTCAGACAATTTAGTACAGAGTATGCAAAAATAAAACACTGAAATGAGGGATGAGAATATTTCAATTAGATTTCCGTGGTCCAAAAAGGTAAGAAGGATTGGGAGGCGGGCATGCAAACAGAACCATGTTTTCAAGACGTGAAAATGTCTGTGAGAAGAGGAAAAGCAAAGCATCTGTGTGTCTTATGTACAAAGCAGAGGCCCAGCTGTGCATAACGAAGTAAACAGTTTAAACACTATTTCATTTTATTTTCTGTTTTATCTGAACATTTCTTCATTATGTTTCATTCACTTTTGAAATTTATTTTAGAGGATACAATAAGACATAAGATTGTACATTCTAATGGAGTTTCATGTAATATTTTGGTAGCAGGTTTCCAAACAGCAGCAGGAAGCAGTAGTAGGAGAGTTTTGGCCAAAATAACTTCATCCAAGGTGACTACAGCATCTCTAAGCTTGTCATGACAGAGCCACTTGCATTCATAAGCAGGGTCTCCTCAGCATCCATCAGGGGGAGTCAGATTTTAGGCACAATCTGGTGGGCCAAGCGTGGTGGGCAGACACATGTCAGGACTGGGATGTCCAGTGCAGCATGAGGCACCTGGACAGTGAGGGCTTGGACTAAGATGAGCTTGTCAGGTTTCTTAATCGCAAGGACAGCAGCTATTAGAGCATGAAGATAAAAAGGGAGTAGGCAGCCCTGAGTAAGCATCATTGTTTATGTGAACTCAAGGGCCCACATTTTATAGGATGCAGAAGCTCTAAGAAATTTGTGGATTTTTTTCTTGTAGTCAGTTTGTGCAAGACATTGTGCAGAGCTTTTCAGTCTTTCCAGCAGGCAGCTTGGAAGTCATCAGTCAGAAGTGCTGCAATACGTTGTGATGGGAAATCAACAAGGTCATCTGTGAGGGCTTCTGAAAAAGAGGACACATAATTTTTGATGCTGGGTGGGTCTTTCCATTTTAAAACAAACATGAACTGGCTGACAGGAGCAAATCAAAGGCAGGAGATATTCTTTAGGTCCTGACAGCTATGCCAGCAGACAGTGGGTGGCAGAAGACTGAGGCAGTGCATATGGAGGCCAACTGCTGTAGCATTGTTAGCTCAGAGATTCCGACCGGGCCTTACACACAGGAGAGGCCTATTTTAGCAATTTGACAGTCTACAGTGTTTGCCCAGGAGACCATAACAGAGCTGAAGGAAACAGAGAAATAGGCTGTCTCAGAGAAAAGGTGTTGGTGGCTTGCCCAAATATGTCCTCAGGCTCCCCAGCCCCCCCAAGTAATGGGAGAGTCCTTAATTCCATAGGACAATTGAGTCCAATGAACTAGGGCAGTGCAAGTAAAGTGTATGGGTTGGGAAGCACAGAGTGCAAAGTGATGGCTGTACTATTGTACTATTGTACTATTGCTGTACTACAGTACAGCAGTTATTTTCTCATGCAGGCATTGTGTTCCTCTCAGGGATCAAGTGACGGGGAGGCTGACTGACTTGGTGTAAAAGTGATGGTCCCTTCTAATTTGAAGAGCAAGCCTCTTCTCAGACAGGAACTGATGTTGGTGAGGTGTCCTTCCAGGCTGTAAGTTAGTGCCTGAAATAAAGAGTGAGAGATAAGAGTCCCAGCTGCCCCAAATGGTAACTTTTGACAGAGGGAACTTCGGAGGGTAAGAGGGTTCTGTTCTATTGTCTATCAGGAGGCACAGGTTTGCCCCAACTTCTACAGTGACTGCAGGTTCTCAGGGGCCCAATTTGATAGAGCTCAGTTTGTCCTCTTTATCCAGCCCCAGCATGGAGAGAAGAGGTTCAGGCTGAGGGGGCCTGGAGAGTCAGGTTTCTTTATGTCTTGCATATGGAACAAACATTTTTCTGGTGTCAATAGCCTGAAGCCAGAGGGCGTGACTGTCTATCAGGCTGAATTTTCTTATGGACATCATATGCTTTAATCAGGTTTCTGGGTGATGGCAGGTGATTAGCTTTTGTGTCCCTTTTTGATGTCTGAGATGTTCTTGATTGGGCTATTTCTAAGGTAAAGTGACCTTTGGGAAATATCATGGTAACTCATTCATCAGGGCTCACAGCCCTATATTTCTTGGTCAAAATGTAGAACTCAGAAGGAATTGCTGCAGCTGTTGTGGGTAAGCATTAAATGATGCTATCTGATCAGTGTAGGAAACAGAAGGCTCTGGAGAGAGGACCTCTGTGGCTGAGTGTGGGCAGCGGCTGACTGGAACTGGTGCAGGGCTGGAAGGAGGTGAGTTGGGAGGGGGGAGTGATGCTGTAGGTGCTGGCAGGGACTCTGGCAGCTGAGGAGGGGTCAAGGTGGACTTCTCAGGGAAACCTGCCTCTGCTTTCTTTTATTTTTTTTTTTTTTGAGACTTAGGGAGCAGTTTGGTTTCATTTTTAAATCCATAAAAATCCTTTTCTGCAGTCAAGGACTGCAGGTTTTGCCAAATTAACTCCCATTTCTGGCTTCCTTCATGTGTGCTCTGTATTCTTGAACAATGTGGTAACACAAAAAGAGTGAGTGAGCACCCCTCAGAGGTGCTCGGGGTTTAGGGTTTCTGTAATTGAATTTTAGAGTGCAATATCATATTTCATCAATTATAGCTTTCAGTCCTATTGACTCTAATTTCAGTGTTTCTCAAAGGGAGAAATTTGAATATAAATAGTTTGTAAACAATAAAATGGAGTTCTGAGATAGTTTCGGTGACTCAAAAGCAAAGAATCAGATGAGACAGTTTTCCATATAGAAGAACTAGGTGATGTTATCAATAAACTGAAATGCATGTTAAGAATAGGCTGAGAATTTCAGACCTTGAAGACAGGATTGCAGCTAGTGAACAGGAAAGGAAAGATCTTTTGAAAATAACAAGGAACCAGGAAACAACAATTCAACAACTGCAAGATGATGCAAAGAAGAATAACATAAGAATGATAGGGATTAATGAAAGAGAGGGAGACAACATGAAGGATGTCAGGAGGATATTTAGAGAAGTAATAGTTGAAAATTTCCCAAGCATGAGATCAGAAACTGACATCAGGATCAGTGAAGCATATAGAACTCCAAACAGTCATAACCAAAATAAAACTACACCCAGACATATAATAGTCACCATCCCAGAAATCCAACACAAGAATAGATTATTAAAAGCTGTCAGAGAGAAAAGACAAATCACTTATAAAGGAAAACCTATCAGAATCACAGCAGACTTCTCAGCACAAACGATAAAGTCAAGAAGAGCATGGAGTGAAGTATTCCAGATCCTAAAGCAAAATGATTTCCAACCAAGACTGATATATCCTGCAAAACTATCATTCAAAATAGATGGTGCAATACGATACTTCCATGACAAAGAACAGCTGAAGAACTTCATGAACACCAAACCAACCCTGCAAAAAATATTGAAAGACAGTTTAGATACACAAAGGAAAAAACCACTAAGCAAAGCAAATAATTAAACAGAACCGAAAGATAAAGATGCAACAGCAGAGAGATAACATTCCTACAATTAACCAGCATTTAACAGTAATAACCATTAATGTAAATGGGCTCAATGCACCAATCAAAAGAAACAGACTAGCAGAATGAATCAAGAAACAAAATCCAACCATATGCTGTTTACAGGAAACCCATCTAACCCAGAAAGATACTCACAGACTGAAAGTCAAAGGATGGAAAACAATTCTTCATGCAGCAGGAATCCAAAAAAAGGCAGGAGTAGCCATTCTGTTTGCAGACAACGTGAACTTTAAACCAACAATGACCATAAAGGACAAAGAAGGTCACTACATACTCGTAAGGGGAAAACTCCAAGAGGAAGAGATAACTATCTTAAATATATACGCACCAAACTCCAGAGCACCCAGTTATATAAAACAATTATTAACAGAAATAAAAATTCAAATTATCAGTAACACAATTGTAACAGGAGACCTTAATACACCACTGACACCAAGGGACAGATCAACCAGACAGAAAATGAGCAAAGAAATAACAGAACTGAATCACACCTGTGAACAAATGGGTTTGATAGACATATACAGAATGTTCCACCCAACAACATCAGAATACACATTCTTCTCAGCAGTACATGGATCATTTTCTAAAATAGACCATATATTAGCTCACAGAACATATTTAAGCAAATGCAAAAGAGTTGAAATCATCCCTTGCATATTATCAGATCATAGCGCTCTGAAATTAGAAATTAATGACAAAGGATACTGCAAAAATTCCGCAAACACATGGAAACTAAATAACACACTCTTGAGTAATCAGTGGGTCACAGAAGAAATTAAAGAAGAAATTAAACAATACCTAAAAGAAAATGAAAATGCAGATACAACTTACCGGAATCTGTGGGATGCAATGAAAGCCGTTCTGAGAGGAAAATTTATTGCACTGAGTTCCCACATCAGGAAAACAGAACGAATACAAATAAATAACTTGATGCTACACCTCAAACAGCTAGAAAAAGAAGAGCAAGTCAAGCCCAAAGCCAAAAGAAGAGAGGAAATTATAAAAATCAGAGCAGAAATCAATGCAATAGAGACTAAGAAAACAATCCAAAGAATCAACGAATCAAAGAGTTGGTTCTTTGAAAGAATAAATAAAATCGATAAGCCCCTAGCCAACCTTATTAAAAAAAGGAAAGAAAAAGCTCAAATTCATGCAATAAGAAATGAAAAAGGAGAAATCACTACAGACCCAATAGAAATACAGAGGATCATCAACACCTATTTCGAAAACCTCTACTCTCAAAAGTTTGATAACACAGAAGAAATAGACAGATTCTTAGAAGCATATGAAGTACCAAAGCTAAATCAAGAGGATATAAAACTGTTGAATAACCCAATCTCTGCTAATGAAACTGAGAATGTAATTGGGTCCTTGCCCACCAAGAAGAGCCCAGGCCCAGATGGATTCACTGCAGAATTCTACAAGAAATATAAAGAAGACCTAATGCCGACACTCCTCAAACTATTCAATGAAATTGAAAGGGAAGCAATCCTTCCTAAGTCATTCCTGGAAGCAAATATTACTCTAGTACCAAAACCTGAGAAAGACCCAACTATAAAAGAGAACTACAGACCGATCTCCCTAATGAACACAGATGCAAAAATCCTCAATAAAATATTGGCAAATAGGATCCAGCAAATCATCAAGAAGATTATACACCATGACCAGGTGGGATTCATCCCAGGAATGCAAGGATGGTTCAACATACGCAAATCAATAAATGTAATCCACCATATCAATAAAGCCAAAAATAAGAATCACATGATCATCTCTATAGATGCAGAAAAAGCCTTCGATAAGGTCCAACACTTATTCATGATAAGAACTTTACAGAAAATTGGAATAAATGGTCTTTACCTCAATATAATAAAGGCCATTTATGACAAACCAACAGCCAGCATCATACTAAATGGCCAAAAATTGAAAGCCTTTACTTTAAAGTCGGGTACAAGACAAGGATGTCCTTTATCACCACTCCTATTTAATATCGTACTGGAAGTACTAGCCAGAGCAATTAGGCAAGAAAGAGAAATAAAAGGGGTAAAGATAGGAAAAGAAGAAGTTAAATTATCATTGTTTGCAGATGACATGATACTCTACATAGAAGACCCCCTAAACTCCATTGAAATACTCTTAGATACAATAAATAAATTCAGTAATGTGGCTGGATACAAAATCAATACTCAGAAATCAATAGCATTCCTATACACGAACAACAAAATTACAGAGAGGGAAATAAGAGAAACTGGACTATTCACATTAGCAAGCAAAAAAATGAAATATTTAGGAATTACTCTTACGAAAGAAGTGAAAGACTTATACAGTGAAAATTATAATACACTGAAAAAGGAAATTGAGGATGATCTCAGAAAATGGAAAGACATCCCTTGCTCATGGATAGGAAGAACAAACATTGTGAAAATGGCCATTCTCCCAAAACTGTTATACAGATTCAATGCAATCCCAATAGAAATACCATCAACATACCTTATAGATCTAGAGAAATCACTCCTAAATTTCATCTGGAACCAGAAGAGACCTAGAATCGCAAAGGCAATTCTAAGCAGCAAAGACAAAGCAGGAGGCATCACAATCCCTGACTTGAAGTTATACTACAAAGCAACAGTAGTAAAATCAACATGGTATTGGAATCAAAACAGAGCTGAAGATCAGTGGAATAGATTAGAAGATACAACCACAACTACGAACACACTCAACCACCTTATTTTTGATAAAGGAGCCAAGCAGGTTCACTGGAAGAACAACAGTCTCTTTAATAAATGGTGCTGGAAAAACTGGCTCTCCATTTGCCGAAAACTAAAGCTAGACCCATGTCTATCACCATGTACTAAATTAAAATCTAAATGGGCCAAAGATCTGAATATTAAAACAGAAACACTAAATCTATTGGAAGACAAAATAGGTAGAAACCTTGGAGACATAGGAGTAGGTAAAGAATTCATGAACAGGACTCAAACAACACGGGAAATACTTCCCAGAATCAATAACTGGGACCACTTCTTATTAAAAAGTTTCTGCATGTCAAAAGAAATCTCCAGCATAGTGAAAAGAAAACCCACAAACTGGGAAAAGATTTTAGTGAACTCTCTCTCAGACAAGGGCCTCTTGTCTAAAACATACAAAGAATTAAAGAAACTCAGACCTCCGAAATTCAAAGATCCAATCCAAAAATGGGCATCTGAGATGAATGTGCAATTCTCAGATGAAGAAATGCAAATGGCAAATAAATACATGAAAAAATGCTCATCATCATTGGTCATTAGAGAAATGCAAATTAAAACCACACTGAGATACCATCTCACTCCTGAAAGAATGGCCAGGATCAAGAAAACCGACAACAAATGCTGGAGAGGCTGTGGGGAAAAAGGAACTCTCCTGCACTGCTGGTGGGAGCATAGACTGGTACAGCCTTTGTGGAGATCTGTCTGGAGATTTCTCAAAAAGTTGGGACTGGAAATCCCATTTATTCCAGCTATTCCACTTCTAGGCATATTCCCAGAAGAACTGAAAGCATCATACCACAGTGATTTATGTGCAACTATGTTTATAGCAGCACAATTTGTAATCGCCAGATCTTGGAAACAACCCAAGTGCCCATCAACTGAGGAATGGATAAAAAAGTTGTGGTATTTCTATACAATGGAGTATTATTCAGCTATAAAGAAGGATCACATTGAGATATTTATCAATAAATGGGCGCAGCTTGAGACCATACTCATAAGTGAAATAAATCAATCTCGCATGTGTGAATACCGAATAGATTCCCTAATGTAAGTAATGATTCAAATATATAAAAATATTTGGTAATCATGATTCCCCATTAGGTGGCCTTGAAGCCTTATAAAGTTTTCACTCATTAATTAAAAAGGCTTTATTCTGGGCTTCTTGATATGAAAATATTTGAAGGTAGAGTATATGAAGTTTTACCCAAATATTTCAAGGAAAAAGACACTATGGTAACTACTATTAAGTCAGGTTATAAGGTGGTGAAGTACTAGGTTATTGAAACAGTCATGCTGTGACCTCTATTGTTATATTGTTATGTCCTGTTTTATCTCAATCTCCCCCTTATTGTTTCAAAAAAATTATTTAGTCATTTCTTATGTTTGTCTTAATTAAAGAAAAAAATTCAAAAAAATTAGGATATATAAATAGTAACTCTTTTCGATTTCCTATTAACTTGTTTTGAAGTCCTGTAGTACTCCCACGATCTTGTTTTGACTGATTAGACTCTGTTCCATTCTATATGATAGTATCAAGTTTGAAGACATAGGCAACTACTTTGAAGACAATAAGATTCACTAAGATACCCATTCTGGTTTGACTATTGTCTTCTTTGGAAGTCCTGTAATGTTTACAATGCCCAAGTTTTATTGGTCTTGTTCTCTACTGTTTTGTCCAACTTTATAATATCTAATAAGATAGACAATTCTTTTTAAGGAAACAAGGGACAACGTTGATAACCATTGTTGATAAACTTGTACTCTGTTCTACACCATGTGCTATGTCTATCCTTGGTATTGACTGACAGCTTTGTTTTGCCATATTTGACTGTATTCTTCCCCCCCCCAAAGAAAGTAATAAGCACTAAGGAGTAATAAAATCCAAGATGTGTAAATTTTGTTGTAAAAAAGAGAGGGAAAAAAAAAAAGAAAAAGAGCTCTAACGGATATAACAGCAAGTGTGTTTGGGGGTGTTAAATAGCTGACTTTATCAATGTTTTTGGAACATTGAACACAGCTGTTTGCAGTCTCCCTGTTTGAATGTCCACCTTGTGTTCTTTGATACTGTGATTTGAGGAACTATTTTCAAGAAAATAGTGTGTAATCTACTAGCAGGTAATTTCTTACTGTTATGGTTTTTTGTTTTGTTTTGTTTTGTTTTGTAGTTCTGTATTGCGTGTACCCTTACGCCGCTTTGGTTTGTTTTGTGTTTTTCTCTTTTTCCTCTTAAATAAAAAAAAAAAAAAAGAATAGGCTGAAACACTCCAACAACCAATATTATAGAACTAGTATTATTAGTTATACAACTACTATTGTAGTTCTTGCTATTTATTATTATTAAGCAAAGTGTTATCTTGATTTTCCTCCTTGAAAACATTTTTGGTGTTTTAGTGTCTTTTCTGTTCACAGGGGTGAAACACCTGACATTTGCAATTTGAAGAGCAGAATACTTACTCTTTTGGTTCATGCTGACTGGCTCCAAGACAAAGGCCTGCTGGTGGGAGGACCTGGGAAGAAAAGGCTTCTCATGTCATGGTAACCAAAAGGGAGACAATGCAAAGAAAAGCCAGAGAATGATGGTACCTTTCAGTTTATGCCCACATAATCCTGCTCCTAGCCAGGTTACACTTCTAACAGCACATGCAGTTGCTAAACTCATTAGAGGGTGAATTCAGTGATGAACATACTCACTCCATGGTCTACTCACCTTCACTACCCCACCTGAGATTTAGGGGGGATGTTTTAAGTAAATCTTACAATTCTGTTCTGGTCCTGAAAAGATTTATCATCTCTTTGTGTAAAATGTACTTACCCAATCACCAAGACTCACCAGGGTTTTAAAAGTTCAAGAACTATTTTTAGGAAAAGTCCTAGTCTAAAATTTCCTTTGAGACTGAAGGCATACTCTTAGCCATGAGCCACTGTTAAAAATATTTAAAATACTACCAACATATAATGGCACATCATAAACCTTCTATTCCAAAAGACTGAAATAAGATACAGAGAGTTATGTAGACTGGATCAAAGTGAGAATGGAGCCCAGCATAGTGAGCATTAAATTCTAGAGCACTGTGTCCAGCACTCAGGGAAAGTTGTGAAACATATGAGAACCCAAGTTTTTGTGAAACCCAGTCCATGTGAATTTGCCTATTGAAGCCCTCGTGGCCTTTATTGGGGTGGTTCTGCTAGCTACCTGCAGCTTTTCTGACTAGATGTTCCTCAGACTCGGCATCTTCAGCTTCCTCAAGCCTCCATTACACTTTTGGCTTCTTCTTTACAGCTTAAAGCATTACTTTCAGGGCCACCCTGCTTGACCTACCATCTTGTGAAATCTGAGTAGAAGACACACAGCTCTTACCTTCTTCTTTCCCATAAAACCAGCACCATGTGGAAAATGCGGAGGTCTGTGGTCAGATCTGCCAGTTTCCAGTTTCTCTTGGATCATGGTTACAAAGACATCTGATGCCTAAACTACAGGAAATGCTTTCTTGGATAGCACTGAATGAACTTGGCTCTCCAGGGCTCTAGTTCCAAATCAAACTCTTTCATTTTTGGACTTTTAGTCTTCTGATGGGTAAAGTATGCTTAATTTATGAAATGTTCCTCAGATAATTTCCCTATTTTCCTGATGCAAAGAATTTGGCTCTTTTAAACATCTGTGCTCCCCTTTCTGCCAACTTTCCCATGCTATATTTCTGATGAAACTGCAAATTTTAAAAATAATTTAACTGTCATTTTTTTTCTCATTTTCATAACAGATCTTGCTAGAAACAGCAAGCATCCCTAACTATAGATGAACTATTGGGCCGCCTTGAACTTTCCTCAGCCTCATAAATCCTTCATACTTAATCTTCACCTTCTGCACAGTCTCATGCTTTAGATAAAGATTCCATTTGATTTTTTGCCAGAGTATGACACCCATGACCAGGAGTCCAACAGCCAATGGAGTTCGTATTCCTAACTGAAACTTCCTGAGACTAGCTTTACTGTATGCATTCCTATCAGTATTCTGTTCTTCAAGCTCTGATCAGAATTTCACACCTACCTTGGCAAACAGTATTGTAGATTTTTCTGCCAGATTTTCAAACTACTCCCAAGAATGTCTTCCAAACAAGTGGAAGCCAGTAAGTCAGATACATTTACAGAAATGATCCTGCTTTGTGTATAAAAATCTATTTTGGTGACTTTCTTTCTTGCAGGGACAAAATATTCAATACCCAGAACCTTAAGGACAAAAGATTTATTGAGGCTAATATTTCACTGTCTGCAAGAGAGAAATGGCATGATGGAAAGGCCTGATGAGAGGAAATCAGCTCATGTTACAGTGGTCAGAATTCACACAGTGAATAGGGACCAGACAGTCCTAGTTGCCTCCAGGTCAAGGCCCAGGTACCTGCCTCTAGCCAGACTCTAAAGAGCACACTCAACTGCTAAATTCACAGTTGGTGAATCCCTTGATGGGTGTAGTGCCCTGATGATCCAGGCACCTTTCAAAACACAAAGTTTGAACACATGAGACTTTCTGGGAAATTTTAGATCTAGCAAAACGGTTGATATTATTTTCAACGTTCAAATTCCAATATCAATTGGTGGTTCTGTTTTAATTTTATTTTAAAGCTCTGTGCATAAGCTTTCTATGGATTCCAATGCCATGAAATTACTAAGAATTATTCACACTCATAACCCCACTCTCCCAGAATTTAAAGTCTATTTTCTTTACCTTTCAACTATTTGTCATATTGTGTCTCGTTTCTTGTAATATATTTGCATAACAAAATAACATTAATTATAGGAGCTAGCTGTGTCTTGTTTCATTCATTCATTAAATCACTTATTCCACCAGTATTTATTGAAATGTATTATTTTGATATAATATGGATTGATTATAAAAACAAACAAAGACTATGGCTACTTTTGAAAAATATATTCTTTCTAAAAGTGAGGGAAAAACAAACCAAAAGTCACAATTACATATTTGCCAATTGAGGTAACTGATGTTCCAAATACAAGTAACGTATTAAGAAAGCAGTAAAAATGTAGTAATTAAGTATTTCTTCTTGAGATTATGACTATTACTTTTTTTTTTTCATCTCAAATAGACTGCTTAGCAATTTGGTATGTTATATATGTGAAAACAGAAAAATCGGGCCTCCCAAACCTTGCCAAAGTTAACATTATAATAAAAAGTAAAAACATTATTTCTAAAATTTAGTAGGATTATTAATGTCCTGATTCTTATGCTGAAATATTTTGCAACATATTTTAAATTACTGTTTAGCTGTTTCCTTTCACTTGGAAAGATATAAGAATGAATTTAACTTTGTTTTCTAAGCGTTTCCTAAATTTTAAGATATACTTGTATTGAAGGATCTAATTCTTGAAAAGGTGTCTGAACTCCAAAAGAGAAATTGGTATCTCACAAAATTGTAAACCATTTTTAAGTCCAGTTATTTGGCAAAATGATTTAGGTAGCTATGGGCTTGTAGCATTCATATTACCTTGAACATTGTGCCACCTTTAATAAGAATGTTTCATCATTCTCTCTATACTTAATTCAGCATCTTGAAATGAATAGCTAAGTTTCAGTTAATATATAACGCTTCTGCTAATGAACATTCAGATCTCTCAAGGCCTAGGACCAATTTGACAGTTGTCTGAGTGCTATATACTCCAAGATTCTATTAAGTGATATCATAATTTCCCAAAAAGTAAATGTCATTTTTGGCAAATTTTCTGCCAAAGCACATTCATTGGCAATATGAATTGAGAAGTTAACTTCCCTAGAGAAAATTTTTCATAAACTTTTGGCTGTGTTATATGAAAATAATCAATGAAGGTCATTTTGAAAGTCACAATATAGTATTGTTCATGTCAGCTTATTTGATAACTAGAGAAAAATTTAAGTGACTGCAGGAAATTTTACTTTTGTTACTCAATATACTTTTATTAATATGTAAATTTTGGAATGGTTTTATTTAATTGGAAAGTATGAATTATTTAATAGGTACAAATAAAATTACTAACCATACTGAAATGTATGTACCTACATCTGTGACTAAATTGGCAAAACACTTTGCTATAACTTACATGACTATTTAAAAAGTGTAAATTTGTAAATTAACTTTAACTGATGAACAAAAAAATAAAAATTGTGCATTGTAATGTGTTGCTTTGTGATGTTTCAATACATTTGTGCATTGCAAAATGTTTAAATGAATCTAGAAATATTTAATACTGCCAGAGTATAATCTTTCCACCTGAGACAGAGACATTTCTTAAACTTTGAACTTCTAATTATTTGTTTCATTTTTATAGTTTTACTATATGTATAAATATGAGGGTGTAAACACATGTACAAATAGTTTATAGAATTTTACAAATACAGTAAGTTAACATGTGTGTCTAAAATAAATGTAGGTGCTACATAACTCTTCCTACTTTATCATTTCATCTTAAAACTCAGCATTTAACTTTTGCAAATTTCTGTTTTATTTGTAACACACATACCAGTGTATCCTCTCACTGGGATATCCTACCAAAAATGCATAAAAGCTACTGCCTTTCTTCCTGTACTCTATTTTACATTGTATGATGACTGTTTCTCTTTTATTACCATTTCATTCTGATTGCACATCTGTTTTTTTTCCCAACAATGTGTCTTCTGGTTCATTTGTTAGACTATCTCATCTATTTTTTGCAATTATTCATTTTATTTATAATCAATTTTAATGTATAATATAGTAACTATGTAACTCAACATTGACAACTATGCTGGTTTCTATCCTATTAGACTTAATCCAAGGAGTCCTGGGTCTTGACGTTGCTTCTGTTGCATTATATAAGAAATATTGATGAATAGGGAAATTTTATATTTTTAGCTTTATAATTGCCTGGTTAAATGCTTTCCTGTTCAACACAATCCATAAATACGAGTTATTCATATTATAATTATACTAAAGAAAGTTTAGAGCAGAAGAGGTGTAAAGATTGTTGTTCATGTCACCTAGGAAAAAATGATAATCTGCCATTATGTGCAGGCATCAAGGATGATTTCAGCAAATAAATTCACTCTCAGGTACCCAACACTCATAACTATAACAAGTACAGGCACTGAACTGATAATTCTCTTGTATTTCTTTCCTGTGTTTAATACTTTGGTTTTAAAACTAGTACTAAGGTCTTACTTGGATTACTGTTTTAGGTGAGTAGTTTTATATATCCATGTATATGGGTGTATATACACATATGTGTATATCTTTCTGTATTCATATGTATAAACATAAGCATATGTCTCTATGTTAAAATTTGAACCCTAATTGTATTCTAATATAGCAGGTTTTTTGAAAGCCTTAATAGCGAACAAGAAAATATGTCTGTTTAACTCAGTAGATAATCTTATTAGTGTTTTTACATATGTCCAGAGTTAAGACTTTAGAACTCCAGATTAGCTAAATTTAGAGATGATTTTTCAGTGAAAATATCTTACTTGTCCTAATTACTATGCCTACTTTGCCACTGTAGTCATCTACTCAAAACACATGGATGCTTATACATACTATCCTGAGGAAGATAGGTTTATAGACATACCTTTCATCCTGGATGTGTGGAGTTCTATGAACTCCATTTTATGTACATGTCAAATTCTTTATCCTGTTTGGGAAGTTTTCTTCCATTAATTCTGTGAAGAAAACTTTTATGGCCTTTGTGTCATCTCCAGCTTTTTCATTGATTCCATTCAAACTTATGATGGTCTTCTTTGCTTCCTCTAGCAAATATTGGATTTTTTATGATCTCTTAAAATTTTTAAGGAATCTTTGTTTTCATAGTCACTAGCCCCAATCCTGTACTCTAGATCTGATATTCCATCCTTAGAGATTTTTGATCTGTTGCGTATACTTTCAGCGGTGATTTTAATCTGAATTGCTATTTGATTATGTTTCAAAGATTCCGTTTCTTCCTACATTGGGCATTCACAGTTTCCAAAGTCCTGTCCTTTTTTAAAATCTGTGTCTGCTTTAATTTCTTTCATTTTGATCACCATTTATCTGTGTACTTGAGAGATTTTTTCTATGACCTCTTCCATTTGTTTTTTCACTCTTTTGCTATCATTTCGGAAAATTTCAATGCTTTGCTTTTGATTTCCTTTATCTCGCTGTGCTCTGGGCTTGTCATGGGTGGGCCGGGGGGTCTGGGGTTATATTTTGCTTCTGCATATTTTCATCTTCTCCTTTTACTTTATTTTGTTTTCTGTGTTTTGCTTGCTGATTTCTTATGGTAGGCATCTTTATCAGTAATATTTAGGACTCCCTAGGATATGTCTTTTGTCTATCTCAAAAACCTATTTTCCCAATTGATTAAGGATGAAAAATTGTTATCTATTTGGCTTGGCACCCAATCCTTTGGTCCTGAACAATGAATGTGACTGTGATCTCATACAATCAATTAATATCATACAAGGGACAAAAACATAACATATATGAAATCCTGCCTAACGTAGTACAGTTGTCAATAATAGTAGCATCAAGTACAGGCTATCTACCGACAAACTGTAACTGTCAACCTGATACCTTTAACAAGGAGCAAATTTTACAGTTATATGACAAAATGCAATATATATCAGGAACTTGTATGCAATGATTTCCCCCTAAATGGAGTGATTTTACCTTGTGTGGGAAGTGAGAAGAATTTACAGAGATAAAGGACAAGACAGAGAGATGAAAACGTTCAAATATAGTAGAAGCAAGGCTGGGGTTTAAGAATAATAATTGAAATTTTGGGAAACTGGAGGACACAGGAGACAAGAAATTGAAACTGCAAGTGAAGGGGTATTGAAGTAAACCAGAAAGACAAGAAACAGTATTCATTCGTATGAAGCTACCAAATCAGGAGATAATTGAGGAAAAGAGAAATAAGATGAATAGAAAAAAAAATGTTGAAAAAAAAAGAAAGCTGAAATAAAAGAAAAAGACAAAATAAAGGCAAAGTAACACAGCCACAAACAAAACAGGCAAAACCAACCAGAGAACAAACAGCCAGACAGAGGAAAATAAAAGTAGGAAAATTGCCCTGGTGTCCATAGTTCTCTGGCAGTTTCCAAGTCCGAATCCAGCAATGCGCACTCCAGTCAAGTGGGGCTTGTGCGGCAGCCTATGAGCATCACCTTGGCTTCTGGGTTTAGGAACTGGGGCAGGTCTTTTGTTTCCTGCTTTCTCCTAGAGCTCTTTGATATAAAATCCTCCCACCCACTTCTGTTCTTCCTGTCTGTGTGGCAGGACTTAATGCTCACCTGATGACCAGCGGCTGCTTCATATTCTCCCTCTTGCTTCAGACTGCTCCCTGCCACAGGTCCTGCCTGCAAGAGTGCGCACCCGTTTCCCAGTCTGTTCTTGCTGGGGCCGCCTGCACTGGCATGCACGCCTGCAGCTGGGCCTGTTCTCTCTTAAAGTGAGAACAGAGGATTGGGTAAAGAAGAATTAAAATACATCATATATGGGTACAAATTTGAAACATGTATCAGTGAAGTAAAAAGCAAACAAATGTTTTTCTTCACTGACTTTGGGGCTCTTTTAAGGCATAAATTTCTAGCAGGTCTCTGTCCTTGTTATGTTGGGTTGCATTATCTGCCAAAGATTCACTGGTGAGAATTCTTACACTATTACTTTCTGGCATGTAGGTCTGAACTTTCCAGAAGTTTTCCCTTCAACTGGAATGTATTGAATATCATCCTGGAGAAGTGCATAGAAGTCCAAACCCTAGTGTTTACCACTGTCCTATCACATGCACTGATTTAGTGGGTGTACAATGCAGCTAAAAGAAATGTAGTGTTTTTAAAAAAATGGAATTTTTTTACAAACTTGGTAAAAAGAAATTGCCTCATCGTTAAGTCTTATCATAAAAAGTAACTTTGTCAACCAAAAACCAAAATCAAGCAGGGCATCTTCATATAGATAAAGGAAATTAAAATGATCTTCCAGGCAATTATAAAAGTGTCAGTTGAATGCAAGCTGGTAACAAGTTTTGTCATGCATTAGATATACAAACAGATGCTTAACTGGAAGGTGACAATCAGACTCATTCTTCTTATGTGAAAAGGGGATTGATGTACTCAAAGCCCAAATTCATCTATGCTGTTCACAAAGTAACTGTCATCAGGTGTGAGCTGGACAGGTTCGTTGGTAATTCAGGGTCAAAGTTTTCTATCCTGAATTCTGTACCAATACTTGTCTTAAAGGGAGGAGTCACTTGCATTTTTTTCCATCATGTTCCAGTCCAGATTGTTAAAGAAAGGATGCTCTTTAATATCGATGAATCCTCTCTGAGGGTGACAGCCCAATCTTACCTCTGGCTCCTTCTTCAGAAGACCCTTGAGGATGCTTCTGGCTTCGACAGACAGGTGATGTGGAATGTGGACTTCTCTTTCTAACATAGATTGCGAGACCTTGTATGTGTTTAGATCAGAGTTCTTGGGACTGTCTGCAAAAGGATACGGAGGCTCTCCCACCATCATTTCGAACATGACTGTTCCAAGATTCCCCCAGTCCACACTGAAACCATAGCTTTTGCCTCTGATGATTTCTGGAGCTAGATAACTGAGTGTGCCACAGAAAGTGTTGGTCTTCTCGCCTGCCTTCAGTCCTGCCTTACATAGGTTGTAATCGGTAATTTTAATGTGTCCGTCTGCATCTAGTAACAAGTTCTCCAACTTCAGATCCCTGTGTAATATCTCATGTTCATGAAGAAACTCGATAGCTAAGGAGGTCTCCCCGGAGTAGAATCTCACATGTGCTTTGGGAAAGATTCCGAACTGTTGCAGATGGTATGTTAGGTCTCCTCCACTGATGTAATCCAGGATAAAGAAAAATCTGGTTGGTGTCTCGATGCAGGAATGCAGGCCAACCAGGTAAGGGTGGTTCAAGCTCTTCTCCAATATTTGCTTCTCTACCTGGAGACAAATAAGGTTTTCATCGTCCTTTCTCACCACTTTCATGGCATAGAGGTGATCTGTTGTTTTATGCCGAGCTAGTAAAACTTTACCGTAGCTTCCTCTCCCGAGGACACGGAGAAAGTCAAAGTCTTTAAGAGCAGAAGAGCACAAAGGCCTGCCATTTTCCTCACCAGTATTTGTCTCATTCTCGTCATCTATTTCTTGCATATCCACATGACTTTTAGGATTTGGTGAGACTACTTCCTGTTTGGGATCTAAAGCCATGGAAACCTGGTTTATTGGCATTGTGCATTCATCATGCAAAGTATGGTGCTTGCATGGAACTCTGGCGAGTGTATGGCACTTCTTATGAACTAAAATTTTACAGTTCATACATTTGTATGCCTTGCGTCCAAATCCCCCTGTGGGGTCTGAGCAGACAGCACAATTAGCATGTTTACTGAACCTTTTAGATCGAAATGTGTGGCCGTTAGCGCAGTGAACCTTTCTCAAGTGTCCTGAAGCTCTACAGTAGATGGATTTATCTTCTGGAGAAGATGTCTTAGGCTGTTATTGTACCCAAAACACCTGAGGAGCCTCTGAAAATGATGGTGGGAGAGCCTCCGTATCCTTTTGCAGACAGTCCCAAGAACTCTGATCTAAACACATACAAGGCAGTTGTTTTTGGCACCCAAGGCACTTTAGGATCTTCTGGTATGCAAATCACCTTTCCATCTTGTGGTAAGCAAGGCACTTCAGTACATTCAGATACACAAGACACCTCAGTATACTTTGGTGCATGAGATGATGTATGAATTAGCAGCTCAGAATCTGTATTAAGCTCAGAAAGCATATATCGATCTTCTAATTGCAACAGAGGTAACGTATTGCATGGATCTCTCTTTTCATCTACACATCTTGTTGTGAGGTGTTTATTACCAAATGAGCAGGTGTCTAGAAGTTCATTGCCCTCAGAAGAAAACAAAATCTCAAGGCTTGTCATCTTCTTATCCCCACTTACAACTTGGGCCTGTTGGGAGGTGGTGTAGGCCATGGAGGTACTTGGGAAGAATGGGTCAGAGAAGGGTTGGTCATGCAGGAAAACTGGCATACAGGGCTTAATGGGTGAGGGAGGCCTTACTGCCTTTATTGTCTGTTCAGTGTGGGGTTGGGCATCTCTCCCTGCCAAGTAATTCTCCATAATGGCTCATCCCAGCTGGTCGTATTGTAGGTTTCTTAGTGTTTGGTGGTTGCTGGACACTGTGACATCAGTCTCTACTTCTGGACACCTTGGTCTGTCTGACTTTACTGCTGCCAGCTCTGCTGAGACCTGCCCAGAGCTGCTGAGTGTCCCGGGGCCTGTTGAACCTTCCCCATGAATCTTTTGAGTTTCAGTGTCATTTGTACCTGAGTCAACAGAGTTTTGGTGTGGGTACCTTGATGTTGGCTGTTCACAGTTGATTGGTCTTGGGGAGACTGTCTCTGGGCTGACTGTGAAAGTTGGGTGCCTTTCCCATCTTGGTCTGTCTGACATTACTGCTGCCAGCTCTGCTGAGACCTGCCCAGAGCTGCTGAGTGTCCCGGGGCCTGTTGAAACTTGCCCATGAATCTTTTGGGTTTCAGTGTCATTTGTACCTGAGTCAACAGAGTTTTGGTGTGGGTACCTTGATGTTGGTTGTTCACAGTCAGTTGGTCTTGGGGAGACTGTCTCTGGGCTGACTGTGAAAGTTGGGTGCCTTTCCCATCTTGGTCTGTCTGACTTTACTGCTGCCAGCTCTGCTGAGACCTGCCCTGAGCTGCTGAGTGTCCCGGGGCCTGTTGAACCTTCCCCATGAATCTTTTGGGTTTCAGTGTCATTTGTCTCTGAGTCAACAGAGTTTTGGGGTGGGTACCTTGATGTTGGCTGTTCACAGTTGATTGGTCTTGGGGAGACCGTCTCTGGGCTGACTGTGAAAGTTGGGTGCCTTTCCCATCTTGGTCTGTCTGACTTTACTGCTGCCAGCTCTGCTGAGACCTGTCCAGAGCTGCTGAGTATCTCGGGGCCTGTTGAAACTTGCCCATGAATCTTTTGGGTTTCAGTGTCATTTGTACCTGAGTCAACAGAGTTTTGGGGTGGGTACCTTGATGTTGGCTGTTCACAGTTGATTGGTCTTGGGGAGACTGTCTCTGGGCTGACTGTGAAAGTTGGGTGCCTTTCGCACCTTGGCCTGCGGCATCTGGATGGTGTGAGGCGTTTTCTCAATTTTTGACATAGACTTTGTCTGCCTGGGGTCCTGGGGTTGTGGCCTCTGGATGTGGAGAAACAACTCAGCATCCTCTCCGCTGAGTGTCTCCAGGCAAATGAGCTGGGGAGGTGGGCAGTACTGGATTGTGATGTCTTCTACAAGGGTTCCAAGTTCTGCTTGGTCATGTTGCCAGGAAGTTATGTCCAATAACTTGAGGTCCAATAACTGATAAGAAAGCCTATGGCTCAACTTTTTCATCATGCTAAGTAAATCAGTGGCTAGTTATTTTATTATTTTATCTAAGTATCTGTGAATCGATTTATCATCTATTAGTTTTTTACATTTGCATTTTTCTTATTTTTACTTTGCATCTGCACAGTGAACTACAGATATATCCTCAGATATTCTTTTTAGATACACACTAAGAGTCTTCCTAAGTCACAAAATTGGTCTATCTTGTGATCTCCTTAACTCAGATGCCCAGAGTGCTGGGATTATAGTCATACACCATCTGTCTCATTCAGCATGCTATATATGTAGCAAATCTGGGCAAACTCCTGGCACTTTCAATCATTGGTGATATCTTCACTTTTAAAGCCATGTGTGTACACTGATAGCTTTCACAGTGCAGGGAGGTCTTTTTCATGTAAAAAAGGCCTTTTTTACTGAAATCAAGTACTGGGGATTTGAGCCCAGAGAGCTATGAAATTTTAGGATGTTTTTCTTTCATATCATCATTTCTATTTCATTAGGTAGTACTGAGTCTTTCTAGAAAATTCCACATTAATTTTCCTTTAGAGAGAAAAATATTTGTTTCAGTGTATAACATCTGGGTGTGATGATAGTGGCTCCATAGGTTCTAGTTTTAAGGAACACACGTGATGAATTGTTGAATTTCAGCTAATGAATTTAATACAATGTGTAGTATTCAGTATTATCACATATTATATTTCCCCCAAAATAATATATAACTAGAATGACCTAACTAGGATCACTCCAGTTCATCATAACCATGGTGATGACCAGGATCTTGCAGAAGATTATACCTTGGTAGTTTCTTGCTCCATAGCTACTCTGTAATGACATGTAAACAAGGACAGTTTGTTGAGGTGGTCAGTTACTTTCTGATTTGTTTTTATTTTCTGGAAATCATAAAAGTGGGGCAGGATAGCAAATGGTGATGACATGGCAGACAGTTTTGTAATCACCCAAGGGGTGATAATGAGCATGTACACAGAGCATTTCAAACTTTCTTTTTGGCTGCTTGGAATCACTTCCTGTCCTACCCCAATCAGACCATGTACTATCTGCCCCAAGGGGATAGTCTGCATTTTTTAGATGTGAGGAAGCTATAGCCATTCAGAATGTATTGTTTTTGCTTTTGAGAGAGCTTATTCACTCAGTACAACTGCACTGATGGGGGAGAACAGACACAGAGCAGCCCTTCACGCTCCCAAAATGAGTAGACCATGCAGGAGGAATAGCACCTCCCAACATGGAGTCGCTCTGTGTGGAGCAGTGGTGAATCGCCCCGAAAGGTTACACAAGGGCAGCGAGACTATGAGCTTGAATGTTAATGACACATCTGAGTTGAAAGCACAAGGCCCATGGAGTGTGAGATTTTAACAACAGTGTGTTAGTAAATGTTTAATAACCAACATATTTGTTTATGTATATACATATGTATTACATGTACACATATGTGTATTACAAATTGTGCTGTTGTAAAAGGCATGTAACATACAAGTTATAAAGAGTAAAAACACAGTGCTCTTTCCAATCAATTCACAGGATGCTTTTTATATTTTTGAATCCATAATTGACCTATGCCCCCACCTGACAAACTCCTATAGTTCCAACACAAGTGCTGGATGATACTTTTCTCTAGATTAAGTAGTAAGACAAAAGTTCAAATATCTGGACTTATGTCTGTATGTTACTTGTTCCTCAATGATATGAGTGACTTTTTGCTGAATGGAATAATGATGGTATTGGGGTAGGAGAAGAACATTTTCATTTTGTGTGCAGCTGACATAACAGGTGCAGACATGGCACACTTTTAAATTAAGCACATTTTTAACATTAATCTTCCTCATTTTCTTAAGACTGCAGTCAGTCAGTGAAACTGCAAGTCAGGCCCTGATATGTGGCATTTCATTTCTAGGATATAAAACTTCTACCAGGCTTGGGAGTGTTGTACCCTAAAAAAATAGCTTTGTTATATGTATATTATAGCAAACCTGTATAGGGGCTTACTAAATGTGTTTGTTTTATCCTTTTTCCCTAACTGATATGTTAAGGGACCTAATTGATCTGTTGAGCAACACTCTCCTCTGTAAAGAATTGCAAGAATCTCACCTAATTGATATGTTAACCATTGTTGCTCTCTACAAACTACAGAAGCTGTGCTAAAACAAGCTAACTAGGGTTGTTAATCACTGCTAGGAGCCTCTATTCTCCGCTAAAGAGCTAAGGAAAACTAAAATGGCAATTAATTTACATTTGTTTAAAGTAACCTGCTTGTGTGCAGAGAGATTTGCGTGTGAGTTTAACCCTTTACCCTGACCTTGACACATTACCGCCATTTTCTGTTCTGTATGGTGCCTTATTGCCTCCCTCTCCCCTCACCTATCTATCTAGGCCATAAAGAATTTGGGTTTCTGGTGACCTCCCCCTGACCCGGTGATGATCTGTTGTAAAATGAGCCTGCCCCAATTTTAAGAACTGCTTAGCTTAAACAAATTACCGGGTAATACTATGGCCCAAACCCCAATCGGTGCTTTCCTTTTGTTCTGTATGTATCAAATGAGTTAGATATCAGGTCTTCGTAAAACTTAAGTTCCAGCGTCTCATAACTTGTGACCCCTTCGCACTCACTAGCGAAGACAAGCTGTCCTGAGATAATTAACTGTCCACTTTCTTCTCCAAATATTGCTGCAGACGTGCCACTCTGAGATAATGTCAGTCTGCAGGATAGAAATAATTTTTAAAAAACACCAGAAACTCCCTAGATTGTCAGAGCTAAGTGGACAGCAATACAGTTTCCAGACTCGGGTCAACAAGTTTGATGGCTCTAAAGGTTTCTTTGTTTCTCTCCCCCCGCCCTTTCCTCCAGCCCCTTTTTAAACTCCTCCCTTCAGCTTCTGGGGGACAGTCTCCAAATTGGCTCCCGGAGACTGGTCGCCAGGCCTGGAAATAAAGCCTTTGCCAATAAATTTTCGGTCTCTTGCCTCCTTGGATTTTATACCGGGGCTCAAGTTATAACATTTGGGGGCTCGCCCTGGATGGAAGCAAGACTCCAGATTCATTTCCGAACATCTAAAAGTAAGTGCTCTGGAGGATTTGTTTGGGCCGCGGTCAAT